ACCTGGGACCTTTAGCATTGGAAGCTCAATATCCTACCACTGAGCTACCACACTCCCCACAGAACTAAACAGAAATATGAATTTAACGCTAAGAGTGGGGAGTGACGGTTAATATTGGCAAATAAAAGATACCTATATATTATTTAAATTTTATTTTGCATTACATTTTTAATTAATTCATGTAGCTAGCATTGGAAAAGATTATGGATCGCTACATTAGGGACTCAACACTGGTATAGAGACCGCTGCATTGTGCACAATTTGACTATCAAGCCGCCCAATCCTGTGAGACAGTGTTGCATCACTTGGTCTCTAGAATCGAGAAAAACTTATCGCAGAAAGAGATAATGGAGAGTATCTTTGTTGACATTGAAGGTGCCTTTGATTGTACCCCCGTAGGGCTCTTGGCTTTAGAATGCATTAATTCGGTTTGAGTGGGAGAGTCCTTTAACCTGAGCTGCTACAATCAGTACTGTGAGTTAAACCTGTTGGAGGGTGTGTTGTCTCCAATTTTGTGGTGTTTGGTCGTCGACTCCCTTATTGGTAAATTGAATGCAGAGGGATTATATTCTATACGCTGACGATATCGCTGTACTAATAGGAGGCAAATTTCCAGATACTATTTCAGGACTGCGCAAAAACATTATGAGACTTCTGAAAGAATGGTGCCAGGATATTGGCATAATTGGCAAATTTAACGTAATTAAATAATACAAATAATATCATTTATGAAAACCGCACTGAAAAAATGTGTTAAAACACTGAAAAATAATTTAATAAAAAGTGTTAACTAACAAATGGCCCTACCAATTTTTACTTTTGATATTTCAAATTACTCACAAAGTGAGGTTATACTGACATGGAATCACCGATTTCAATGAAACTTTTTTCTGTGATACTGTCCGAGGGCTCTGCTGTGCAGCTATTTCTACGTTATTATATGTCAATGGATTTGTTTTTTGTTGTAAAATAAGAAAAAAATATTGTTAATTATATTAAACGAATTCTAATTTATAAAAAATTATAAAAATCTCCCAGTAAAGTACGCCAAGTAAATTTTTGTCACGAAAAAATGATTCAGATCCATTTTTAACATCCACTAAAACTCTTAGTTTTGTTTTGATATATAAATATATAAATTTTTGGACTTAATTTTGTGGGAGAATTTTCTCCTATGTCAATGTTACTATAACCGTTGGAAAGCTAAATTATTTCTCCTCAGAACTATGTCGATAACTTTTAGATTTTATGCCTTTGTAAGGAATAAATAAATAAAAACTCCCCAAACTTTTTCATTTTTTATCTCCAAGCCTAATTTATTTGGGGAGCTCTGGTTTGTGCTATTTTATTGTATACTATAAGCCCCTAAATTCATACTAATTTTCGTGTAGATAAGGGGAGCCGTGTCAAAGTTATCACAACTTTTGTGGTTTAAAAAAAAAGGCTGCAGCCTAGTCGATATTTTGAGCAAATTTTTTTTCGATTGGTATGAAAATTCGTATTTAAGGTTTTTTTCGAGGTACAAATACAATTCTCAACTTTGTTTTTCCTTAAAAAAATATTTGAATCCATTTTACTCCCTAAGTGAGTACTAATTGCTTCAATATTGTACTCATATGATAGATGCCAAATATATATACTTTTCTAAACCGGACGTCCCACTAGATCTCATATTTCCGACCTCTATCTTCCCCTCCTCCTCACTGAACTGCTGCATTTGACAAATCCTTTGCAATTCAAGCCGCTTCCCTCTGGAATTCCATCCCTGCTGATAATCGACACGCACAATCAGTTTCCTCTTTCAAATCTCTCCTCTTTAAACACCTACTCCATTCTCAATCCTACTGATTACGAAATATACCTAAGAGAACTATCTAAGTTCTCAGAGACTACCTGAACTTATTTAGGTTATTTTAGTTTTATATATATATATATATATATATATATATATATATATATATATATATATAACTACCTACTATATATATATATAACTACTAACTTACCTACCAAACATGTGTCAGTACATGAACAACCTCAGTGCTCAAACCACGGTTAGTAAGAGAAAATATTACAAATTTATATAAATGGATTATATACATTATTTTTTATTTTTAGTTTATATAACTATTTTAATATGTGTATTACAATATTGTTAAGATTCATGTGCCATCAATCACTATAGTTTATTATTTATAATTAGCGGTCGTATACTATTATATCTCTGATTGTAATTTTAAAAAAACATTTTCAGCCCTGAAGATGACCCACATGTTTGGGGTTGAAACGTTGGCAAAAATAAAAAAAATTTTAAAAAAGACTGCGTCCTGAATATTTATCACCCATGAAACATTTGATGATTTTTATCAATTGCAATTTTTATTTTTGATCAAAATTTTAAAAATCAACTATAATAATAATTTTTGAGTAGTACTTTTTTAAATCTGAAATTTAAATTTTGTATATAATCTCTATGATACTATTTTAAGTCTGGAGAAGGAGGTGGAAAATATTGTTATTAACGATTAGCGACAGTACATCTTTATTTCCAAAATTCATTAGAAATTTTGATTTACAAAAAAAAAAAAAAAATATATATATATATATATATATATATATATATATATATATATATATATGTATGTATGTATGTATAGTATAGGTATCACATGCACAGTTAAAGCAATTTCAAAAATATAAAAATGTGTACATTAATAACGTATACATATATATTAGTATTTAATTTAATTTGTGTGTAAAAGGTCATTTTTATTTTCTGATCTAAATTTTTTTGATCCAAATTTAATCATTATTCTTTAAGCAGAAATGTATCACTCACTGAGTGATCATTATTTTTAATCGAATAAATGAAAATCAAAGATCACTTTACGTTTTTATTTATAAATCAGGCATGATTTTTTGGAAAAATAATTATCGATTTCAAACACTCCTAAAAACCCTTCTTAAATATGTATGAATTTTTGTTGCAATCAAAAAATATAAATATTTTGCTCAATATTCTGCCTTCTATTAATAGCTCTATCAATCCATCTATGTTTATAGCCTTATAGTGGATATTTCAACCGTTATATATATATATATATATATATATATTGAAATATTTAGGAAATTTTTATCGCAAATGAAAAATAAATGTATTTTGGTTTACTAATATCTACTATAAAGTTAAACATGGATGGATCTCATAAAGAGGTATTAATATAAAGCAGAATATTGAGCAAAAGATTTACATTTTTGGATTGCAACAAAAATTCATATTTAAGGGTTTATAAGGGTGCGAAAAATGAATATCACCTTTTTTTTTGGGCTTTGAAAGCCTTCAGTGCTTGAACCATCCCCTGAAGATGACCCACATGTTTGGGTTGAAACGTTGGTACAAATAAAAAAATTTGTATAATGACTGCGTCCTGATTATTTATCACCCATCATACTGTAATATGTTTATAATATGTACAATTTATGCTTTATACTTATTTTCAGATCGAATTTGGACAAAATACAAGATTTTGTGCACCTAATCTTACTTTCGATACCCGTCTGATTAGAAAAAAAATATATATTTGGCATACATCTATAGTATGAGCACAATATTAAAGCAATTACTACTGACCTAAGGAATAAAGTGGGTTCAAATCTTTTTTTAAGGAAAAACAAAGTTGGAATTTGTATTTCTCACCTCGAAAAACCTTTAGGCTTTCATTTTTTTTTTTTTTTTGAAAATCACAAAAGTTGTGATGATTCCAAACATGACTCCACTTATACACATGAAAATTAGAATGAATTTAGGCGCTTATGATACACTCAAAATGTCACAAATAAGACCCCCACCCACACAAATAAATTAGGCTTAGAGATAAAAAATAAAAATGTATGAGGAGTTTTCATTTATTTATTATTTATTTAAAAATTGTTTTTTTATGACAAATATTTACTTGGCCTACTCTACTGGAAGCGTCTTTGTGTTTTAACTTTACTATTTATTATAAATCAGAATTAGTTAAATATAATTAACAATATGCTTTTGTTATTTTTCACCCAAAAATAAATCAAATAATACATAATAACGTCGAAATCCATAAAGAGCAGTCAGAAAATATTAATATAAAAAAATAATAAAATTTTATTTTATTTTTTTTCTTGCCTCCTAGGGCACATTGGCAATAACCCTCAGGCATGGATCAAATATTTTTTGACCTAGTATCACCGAGAAAAAGTTTCATTGAAATCGGTGACCCCAGGTCTGTTACCTCCCCTTGGCTGTTAGTAAGTCCCATGAATGTTTTATAACCACTAAATATATTCCATAATATTTTATGTATTCTCAACTTTTGGTTAGTTTCATCGCATATCGGGTGTAAGTCTGTGATCATATATGATAAATATATATTCGACAACTTAATAAATTAACTTTTGACTTCTGGAGGTCCAACTTTACTTCTCTTAGATGTTATAACAGACCTCTTTTTATCAAATCATTAACATTAATCTAAAACGTCGTTAATGGCTTTATCTTATCGTAATCTACAACTTTTTTATCTACGAAAATTCTCAGAAAGTTTTGGACAATGGCTGTTAATAATGAGTCTGTATTCGATTATAAAGTAGATGTAGGATTCATAGGATTATTGGTTATCCACTATATTTACTATAAATTATATCTACTACACATTATAATAATGCAGCTCCCTTCTACAGGCTAAAGTTGAGTGAGAGATAATATACCTCATGTTAAGAGCAAATTATTCTTAAGTTCATATTTTGTAGCTTTTATGATGACTGGATTGACAAGGCATTGCATGGTGAAATATTAACAGCTTTTTCAGATATTAAAGGCCTTCTTTATTTTTTGTTTAATTTTATGTAATATATATTTATAATTGCATAATTATAATTTATCTTTTTTTATAAATTTTCTACACTATTATTTCCATAAAGTTAACTACTTTCATTTTATTCTTATTCTCTATTTTTTTTTTCAGTATTTATGAGGATAATCCTCGAAGGGGCAATGAACTCGTACCGTATCGAGAAATAGATGAAGTAGCATCTTCTTCACTAGGAAGGAACTACGTCGTCCTCAACAGGCCTGTCATCCGGGGAGGATTTAAGATGAAAGTTCCGAAAAATCATACGATCCATCAAAACGTCCCGAGGTTGACGCATTACATCGAAGAGACCAACGTTGGTAAAGGATTCATTAAAGAGCTCTGCTTCTCAGCAGATGGTCGCCTCATCTGCTCTCCATACGGATACGGAGTTCGCCTTCTCGCCTTTTCCCCCGAATGCTCAGAATTGTCGTCGTGCGTGCCTAAGAACGGACCGGTGAAACTCTTCGAGTTAGGGACCAACGTCTGTCATACGGACATTGTCGTTAGTACAAAGTTTTCACCAAGGCACTGCCTTCTGGTGTCGGGGTGTCTAACTGGAAGAATCGTGTGGCATCAACCGGTCTTGTAGTCTTGATCTATTCTATTCATCATTATTTTTTTTTTCGATTCGAATGACTGAAGCATTTTTTCTTTCTTCTTTTTCTTTCCTTTCTTTCTTTTTTTTTTCTTTTGCTTATCGTTTTAATGAAGATAAAAGTATTGTTTAGTCGGGCGATTATGGAATGATGTGAATATTGAAAAAAATCGAAACATATTCGTTGTTTCGTTGATATTGTTATTTATTGATCGAATTATTTGATACGAGCGTCAAATGTTTAAGTAAATGTGATATTGAGAGAGGTATATTTTTCAGAATCATCTTATCAAAAATTTATATGAGATTAATATTTTAGAAACGAATCAAAACCACGTTAGATTATTGGGATCTGGGAAGGACTTTAATTTGATAAATATATATATTAAAAAAAAATAATAATAATAGTTTTACCTATATTGTTGATGTTGAAATCTTTATTGAATTGCAAAAGAGTTTACTCTATGAAGGAATAAAAGTGTTAATTAACGTTAGATACTTGTAACTGTCCAAAGACCTGTATTACCTTGTGATCTTGAATCAGTCACTATTGTTAAGACTTAGAAAGAAAAATTTGTAAATGTACGGTATATATTACTTTTTATATTTTTACAGGTATATTACAAGTATATATTTTATTTATGTTTTCATTTTTCGATTGTTTTCTTAGAAAAAAAAATTGTTGCCTAATTTCACTTATTTTCACAATTAGGCCAATTTATATCTAGGCGTTACTACAATATTTTTAAAGAGACTTATTTGTGATTTTTTTTTCCTATCCGCTATTGACAGAATATTTATTTTACATTCTAGTTAATGCAAGTCTAGCTTGTAATTTTAAATCTTCAAATTATTGTTTTGTAAAATTTATTATATATATAATTATTAAAATTTATTTAGTATCATTCCTGCAATTCAACTTTGAATATATCAGAGAAATTGTATAATAAACCTTCATAATTGATGTTCGATTGTAAAGGCAGGTGAAGTTTTGAATTTATTTATTATAATTCTCTTTATTAAATATATATTGATTTTTCTAAGAAATATATTTTGGGAATTCCTTATTCCATAGATACATTTTTCTTATTATTGTTTTACAATTTATTCTATACTTGCAGTACCCTTTTCATGCATACAATGAGTATATGTTCAGTTGTTATTTAATAACAAGTCAACAACAATATGCTTTAACTATTTTTCTTAAGTTTTTCAGACTGCTTGACATTTATGGCTACTGCTCCGTTTCTGAAACTAGTGAGTTAAAAAGAATAAACGTCAGTTTAAGCTAGTTCTGCCATAAATACTGTTACAAAAGTTGATCTTTGTTTACATCCTTGGGTATTATTTAGATAATCCTTACCTCTATCAGGTGATTTTCTTTACATGTCAGGATAATAATCCCAATTAGTTTGTATTTTTCTTTCACTCAGTTAACATGGAGTGGGATGATAAAGATAACCGAATAGTTGTGATTGCCTTACACATAGTTGGAAAATGTAGGTCAGAGATTTTCGACACTTTGAAACCTTTAAGTATCAGCCGTATATTCGTGTAACACACTATAAATAGAAATAATGAGATTCTATCTGTATGTGACAGACCTCGACCGTCCCTGCACTGTGAAAACGGCAAATGCAGTGAGAGCAGTGGCTGCTCGATTCAGAAGAAATCTCATTCGAAAACAATAAATCATGTCTCAGGAAATGAGAATCAATGTCTAGCATAATAAAAAGTGATCTTAGGATGGGTGCATTTCGAAGAATGACAAGACAAAGGCTTCCCCCCAAAAAATTAGAGTGGATAGATGCAAAATGCTCCTTGGTCGTTACACTAATGGTCTTCATCGAAAGATTTTGTTTAGCAATGAGAAAATTTTTTAATTAAAGAAAAATTTAGTCGCCAAAATGATCATGTGTACGCACACAGCTCTAAAGAAGTCCAAGAAGTCATTAAAAGAGTGGAAAAAGCTCACTCTTTCTCAGTGATAGTTTGTTGGAGAGTTTGCTTTGATGGCACCACAAAGCTCCATTTTTGTGAAAAAGGAGTTAAAGAAGCCTCTTAAAACTATCAGGATAATATTTTGGAACCTGTTGTCACAATCCTCTTAATGATACTCTGTTTGCTGGAAGTCATTGGATTTTCCAGCAGGATTCCACTCCAGTTCACAAGGCCAGGTAAGCTCAGTGGCTGCAAAAGAACATTCCTGAGTTCATCTCTGCCTCATACTTGCCCTCAGGAAGCCCTGATCTCAGCCCACTAGATTATTGGCTTTGGCCGAACTGGAGAGGATGGCATGCCGCAGAGCACATCCCAACTTGGAAAGCCTCAAACAGTCTCTGGTGCGGACTAGTTGAGCGCTTTCCTTAAGAAGTGCTGCGTGCTACTATCGATGACTGGCCACGGAGATTAAATGCCTGTGTCAAGGCAAAAGAGAAACATTTTGATTAATTTCTATTTTATTTTACTCTCTATAGATAAACAATTTTATTTTCTAATTAAGTTTTTGAAAAAATTCATTTTTCTGTTGTAATCTGTATGTATTTCCTTGTAACAATATTTAAGACAGGACTAAGTATTTATTTATACAAGTTTAGTTTTATTTTATACAAAATAAAAGAAGAATCAAGTAAATTGGACCAATTTTATTAGTATTTTACACCAAATGAAAGAAGAATTGACTAAATCGAACCAGTATTATAGCATATTTTTATTCACATCTTTTTCTAGAACCTTCTTCTATTTCTATATACAGTGAAATTAGTAAATCCCGTAAAAAAAATTAAAAATGTAATTAGTTTTATTTACATCATTATATTAAAGGCTTACAGTAAATAAATAAAATCAGGAACTCTTCAATAGATTTATTTATAATCTCAATTTAAAAATATGTACAAACTCAATAAAATTAAAATATTCAACTGTGATTATTTAAAAAAATTAACACAGTCTAAATGATACACCACTTTTTAAATACATTTTTAATTGATTCTGTCAATGTTTTGGTGAATTTTGGACTTAGCCTGTTGCACACTCCAAAGAGATATATTTTAAATCTTCTTTGCTAGAAATTTTGTGTTTTCTAATGTCTACCTCCAAGTTTGCTGGCTGGTGTTCTATCACATTAAGATCTGGTGACTGTGATTTCCTACACCAGAAGCTGCCATACATCCCCACACCAAGAAATAGAAAATAAAACAACAACTAGAAAGAGAACATAAGAAAATAACATATTGCTAGGATGTTTATCGGTTACAATAAATTATTATTTTCAATGTAATTTAAATTGAACTATGTATTTATTCAATAATTTCTGTCAATATCCAGTTGTATCATTTTGACTATGAGCCACTGTATATAAAAGAAAGAAATTTTTTACTAATTGAAATATTGATCACTGGATCTCAAAATTGACATAGCTTATGAAACTGAAGTTTTAATTATGCTGTTGATCTGCAATAAGACTCAGTTTGGAAATATTCATGCTGCATAAGAAAAATTAAATATTTGTTTAAGTGGTTGAAAAATTTTTTTTTCAAAATCCTATAAATAAAAATTGTTCTCTGAATTACTTCAAAAATGTACATCTGGTAAAGTCTAGGTATTATAATATTATTAATATAATTGGTTATAACCTTTTTAACCTGTACCACTACAACCCATGAAGGGTCTTGGGGTTCAGTACTATTTAGTGAAAGCACTGTTTCTAGGTCAAGGCTTGTGCAAGGAGGTGATTTGACCGATATCAGGCTCAACCGCCAGGTTTTCCCCCTTAAGCAATTTTTTAATTAAGGGTACCCACTTTACAGAGGCTGGGTGTGCCCCAGGAGAGTCTCCCGACCCAGGGTCACCCCACGACCAATGAAACAGATAAATTAATTTTCTGCCATGAGCCGGGATTCGAACCTGGGACCTTTAGCATAGGGACCCTACCACTGAGCTACCCCCCTTCCCTATAATTGGTTATACCAATAATAATATGAACAAATGTTCTGATCACAAAGTCAACGGTGGCAGGTACAGATAGCTCGGAACTACCCTTTGCTGTATTAAGAGAGGCTCAGCAAGCAGTTCTCTTGGATATAGCCAGAATCACTAGAAAATTTTTATTTAAATATCTAAAAAAAAAAAGTATAATTGTGGTTGGACTTATCTCCCACCTTTAGCTTTGAATCCGCAAAAGCTAGAATAATAAAGATTTAATAACACCATAATAAGTATTTATAATATAATTAATTATTAATTATTGTAGTATAATTATTCATTATCATGAAACTCATTGGAATCTATAGACTTTCATAATGATGTAGAGATGGTTGACCGTTGATATAATATGAGAAGGAGTTACTCACTATATCTCTGATATCATCTTTTATTTCTGTATCTGACAACTTCTTCTTATTTTATATCTACTTATATTTAATTTTTATTCTCAACATGTTTTATATCTTTTGTAGCCCTGAAGACGACCTGCAAAGTGGGTCGAAACGTCGGCAAAATTAAAATAAAATAATTACTATATTTAATATTTATTTGACAATTTATTTATTTATGAATTTATTTATGACAATTTATTTATTTGATGATTTAGTATTTATTTGACCGCACCCCGACTAACTCCTTCTCATATAGACTTTCATGTTACACGATGATGAAATGAACCACAGCATGTGGGTCATTCTAATATTATTTGACCATTTGATGTCCCTGGGCTTAACATTCATTTTTCACATGTCTTTTATCCCGGAAGAGGCGAAAATTTGGATAAATTTAAAATATACTTTTTTAATTGTTGAGACTAAAAATATCTTTTTTCTACAGATATTTAATAAAGTATCTTTCATAAGAAATAAGTACCTAAATTTATACCTTTATTCACCGTTCTATATTTCAACACTGCAATCACCACCTCCGGAATCAACTTACTCACTGTCTGCATAGATAACTTTTTCCACTAAAATGACATTATTCAAAGATCTTGAAATTGGAGTTAG